ACACACACACACACACACACACACACACACACTTATTTTCTATTCCCACGGGGACCTAGCACTGACTTCCATTCATTTCCCTGTCATTTCAACAGCCTAACCCTGACCCTTTACCCTAAACCTAACCACCCCAGTACATATCTAACCCTAAATTTAGTCTAAACTCAAAAAAAAAAATAAAAATAAAAATAAACATGTCCACACACATAAACTCTTCAAAAGATCAATTTAGAATACACTGTTAACCTAACATGCATGTTTGTGGTTGTGGGAWGAAAACTAAAAACCTAAAGGAAAGCCATGCATGTATAAGGAGAACATGCAAGACATTTTCCTAGGAGTACAAACTGTATTGTTCACTGTATCCTCACACAAAAACCTGAGTCAAGAGTTAAACTTTATCTTTATGCTGTGAGGCAACCGTACAAAACTTCACCCCACCCTGTATTAATGCCACAGCATGGAAAATGCACTGAAACACTAACTAGTAAATGGGCCTATGTGTCCATTTTTGACATTATTTGTCATTACTTCTAAAATTTTACATAATATTTTTGTCCATAAAACATTCTTTTTAGGAAGGCTTTTTTTTAGTACCTCCAGAGCTTTGATTCATACTTTTATGGTTACAGAAAATCACTATGGTACATAATACATGCATTTAATGACTGCATGAATGTGAAATGATTGTCATAMCATTTTGCACCTAATGGTAACAAGAGTGTAGCATGCAGCACATTACAGGCCTGTCGACAAACCATTATACAGCAATATATAGAAATGGCCCAATTATCTGCAAGCAATTTGAATTTTGTTGAACTTAGTTTTTCATAAGACATTGCTCCTCGAAGATGCAAAATACCATTTACATGCTGTTGCTTATTGTGTTTAACCTTAGTTTTGTGGCCATACAACAGATCCAACATTTATCACATTACCAACAGATGATACCCATTCCCAATGTGGTATCTGAAAATCATGTGATTATTGTATAATGAATGATTACAGTGACTGATTGGACATTAGTGTATTGTGACATAATTTTTCTTTCAAATCTTTGTCTAGTTGTACACCATCATGTCATCTATTTCCAATAACACTGTGTTGTTTAGCCAATTGTTAAACACGATATGTGTTTCAAGTTTCATTATACATATTATCTTGAGCAAATGAGAAGGTATAGCCTAGACGAGAAACGACCTTGTATCAAATCTGACCTGGACCTTGAAATTGAAGTGATGAAAAGTGTACTAACAGACCATTGGTTATACCAATGTTAATTGATTATTTAGTTTAAGCTTTTCTAATATGATGAAAAACAAAAATGCAACTCGTGCATACAGTATATGGGTCCCTTTTCCTCGTCTGAGGATGAAAGAAAAAGACTAGAATTACATGTCTGACTTTTACTACCTGAAAATGTTGCGGCGGCTAACTGACATCTGTGGAATTATCCAGTTACAAAAATTAATAGTGCTCATAAGCAATWTGTTGTAATGAAGTGTGGTTGTTCTCAGCTGTGAGGGGAAAGGTGGGGCACATTAGACAATGTTCAGCAGCTGTACTAATCAACTCCACCTGGCACCACTACCTGAACTAATCAACCCCTTCTTTTTTTAAATAGAAGCCTGATGGAGCCCCAAACACTGCTGGAACCAGCCACTTAAAGAGACAACGACAAGCCAGTCTGTTACATTTCCTCAAACGAGGAAAGGTATTTATTCTCTTCAGCTGCTCAGGTTATGGGGCTTTTATTTCAAGGAAAGCTTTATTAGTAATTTATGGCATTAGTGTAGGTCATATTTTCTTGCAATGATTTACTCTGATGCCTCAAAATAAACAGAAAAAATGCATGTTTCATTTTCTCATGCATTGCATGTAAGTGAATTTAAAATACAATCATACCTTTTCAAAAGAACATGAGACATTTTATGCCATAAACTGTATTAGCAGCTAAATTTATTTTTCAAAATGAATACTCCATCCCCACCAAAAAGCCATTTATTTTGAGGATTCAAAATGATTGTCATTTTGATGCCTACAAAGAACAGAAGGAAAACTTGAATGTTACAGACAATACTTTGCATTGTCCTTTTTTGCTGCAATGGGTTTCCCTGCATGCAGCGCGTCCAAAGCAGCTCGAGTTCAACAAATTGAACTTTTGATGTTCGATGCGCCGCAGCAACCAATCAGAGAGAATATTTTTTTCCACGTGACGGTTTCTTGAACCCGAAACAGACGGACAGGAGCTCTTTAGCTGAAATTGACCGTCTGCAGTTGGTGTTCTGGCTGGAGATTTCAGCACCAAAGTGGGTCAGCGGCTCGTTAAACTGGGTTCGGGACAAAAGAAAAAAGTTCATCAGCTCGCAGCTCCTGCAGTGGTGAATATCACCGAACAAACCGCCTCTAAATTATCTGGTGAATTGATTGTCTGCTGTGCGCAATATTCGCTTGCTCTTTAGTAAATACAGCAAAGCTATTTTCTTTATTTTATCTTTATTTAACCCATCATTAAAGGCATACCTGAAAAAACCGACACTCCTCCCTCTTCAGACACACATCTACTCTGCTGCTGCWTTCACACCAAACGTGTTTCAGTGCGTCTAACTTGAGGCATTGGGCACATTTTTGCTGCTCAAAACGCATTTGGTGGGAACCCAACTTTAATGCATTCACACTTTGATTAACAGGTTATCGTTTCTGCACTATTATCTCAGAAGCACAGCTTCAGGCAGAAAACTATTTTAAATGATATATTATTAATAATAAAACAAATGTACTTTGAATCTAACTTGTGCTAGTGAATTATCTGTTTTGAACTTGTGGAATGACTTTTTCTCTTTGTGCATATTTGTTTAAATCTGAGATCACTGTTAAAGGTATTTTTTATAATTAATGTGCCTTATTTAAAAAGATGGCCATTTAAGAGATTGTTTTGTTTGATATATTTTATGTTTGCTTGCTAAGAATTTATTTCAAATGATATAATTTACACTGTCATTTGGTTTTRGTCTTGTATATTTATGTTAAGAACTTACCCATTTATGACTAGTCTTATTTCGTAGCATGTTATCGGTTGGTTATCAGCCGTTAGAAGTAGAAAAACCAATGATGTTCATTACAACAAGTTCATGACACTGAGGTCACAATACCATACATCGTGATATATTGCCATTTTTTCTTCAAATATTCAAAATTGAAAAAAAAAAACAGTATGTTTTATAAGTCTTATATGTTTCATTCTTCTTAATTCATCCATGTTTTCAGTGGCTAGGCCAAATGTGCCATTAAATACTTTGATAACAGATTTGTGACAGCTTTTAGCTTTATAATATTAATTTGGTTACCCACCACACCAACAATAGACTATCTTGTGTTGAAATTCAGTAAACAGATCAAATTAATCTGCCACTGCCTGTATTTATGTCACAAGGCCCCTTTCGCTTTAGTTAATGGGCATGAGTATGGCAGAAAATTCAATGCCCTTAGTATTTCATATGGTCTTTGAACATGGCCACTTCAGCACTATCTCCCAGGGACCCCCTTAAACTCTGGGCAGTAGAGAAACGTCTACCTGCATGCCGTAATCTGACAGCTCTGCTTGCAGGCTGCAGTCAGGAGAAATGGTGTCCTGAATGGGACACTTCGATTTGGCTTAAAATACGAGACATTCCAACTAATCTGGGTCAGTTAGTAATTCTACCTCAGCTTTGAAGTAGGCGGGTGCCGGCCTAATCCGTTCAGATTCAGTCATTGGTATTTAGTGCTAACATTTACTCACAAAGCTAATGTCTGAGCTAGAGTTATACTCTCTGGATCTTTAGTAGTGGAGGTGCCAAATGGCTGGCTGACTGCTGCCAACTAGTGCGTGGAGGTCATATTACCACAAGAATGGTCTTCTGGCATGAAATTCTACATTTTAAATCTTAATTAAAAATCTATACAGTGCTTTAGAGAATTGACACAGTATTGGGAAATGAAATGTATCRATATTTCATTTTATCAATATTTTCTTACACTACTATAGTTATAACCCATTCCTAAAGTTCTTAATTTTGTTTCTGATCTGTTTGAATAACTCCTAGTTAGGTACTCAACAAATGGCAAACCATGGGCCAGATAACAACCCCTGATTGATTCTGAACAATCACACAATTTAAACCATACAGGTGTGCAAAACAGATTTCAGACAGGACTATTTACATGACAAGGTGTCAGCAGAAGAGAACATTTGAAGGTTACAGAATTTCCGTCACACAAGACAAAGCGAGACATTAGAATGGAAGTCTAATTCAGCCTTAACTTGTGGTTTGTCACTTGTAGACAGACTTTATTTATTTATTTATTTATTTATTTATTTATTTATTTATTTATTTATTTATTTATTTTCCAGGAGAAGGGTACTTAATTAACAGGATTATCTGTCTATCTGCTAATCCAAACAAGTCTGCTGTACAATCAGAGAAAAAAAAAGTATTTTTGTTTGACTCATTGCTAAAAGCTTGTTTATTGCAGCCATGGTATAGCACTATTGATTGTGTTGGATTAAGACTCTTTTGTGGCTGCTAAATACAATCTGCTGTCATTCTAGTGCCAAAGGAAATCTAAAGTTACACCTAATCAAAGTACTAATACAATAAAATAACTTTTGTTCTTAATTAAAAAAAATTCTTCTGCATCTAGGCTAGCTTTGTAATTTATTCAAATCTTTTCCTTTTTCCGTGTTTTGCATCTTGACAATATTGAAACGTATCATGGTAGTACATTAGAAAACAAATCCATCAAAATGTTCTCATTTGCATAATTCAATTCCACAAACTTCATGGATGCATTTATTTTATTTATTTATTTATTTATTTATTTATTTATTTATTTATTTATTTATATGTTTATATTTTTTGGTATTATACATGCTGTAAGCGATTTTCTACAACAATTGTAGCACAATGCTAAAACACAACATATGAATAAGTGTCTGAATCTTTTTAAAACTGACCTTATATTAATGCTATTAAATTTGAGAATTGAAAATAAACATGTTAGTGTGTTACTGACTCTGTCCTCAAGCATCTAAATTATCTTTTTTTCAAAAGCAACATATGCCAGCAACAATACTCAATGTGTTTGTGTTAGGAAGGAAACCATGTGCACATAACTTATTTTGGCAAGTGAATACAGTAATGCAGATACCGTAAATCAGAGCATGCTTGTTACTCACGTCTGTCCTTCAGGGGTGTTCTCCGGTATGGCAATTGTGAAGGAAGAATTAACAAACTGTGGTGGCCGGGCTCCAGCAACTACAGAGACAACAGCCGGAGCACTACGACTGCCCAGCCCATCAGCAGCTACCACTGTCAACAGGTACTCTCTGTCCCGCTGCAGAGGAAGACCTGTCGTTTGGACCTGGCCACTCTTTCTGTGTACTTCAAAGCGACCATCACCACCTGCATATAAATTATTGTAGAAAAAAAGAAAGGTGAAATGCATAAAATAAATACCGTAAAATCAATTTCACAAATATGTTGTCAAAGAACTACAGTATGTGAGTAGATTTTAATTGAAATTTAATTTAAATACTTTACCAATGGTGTCTAAAAAATCACATTACATATATATTTTAAATAAAATGAAAAAGGAAGGCACGAAATGTTATAATATATGGTATAAGTGACATCTAAGTGACTCTACTGAAAACCCATGGTACAAATACTTAAATGACCTCCCTAACGTCATCAAGTTCTGCAAAACCATGTCTGTGACCTATTAATTTAAATCAGGTGTGCTGAAGCAAAGTCAAAGTACCTTTATTAGTCTCCCTTGTGATAAATTTACTTTTGATAAAAGGGGCTCTGTTGCACAACAAAAAAAAAATTATAAACACAAAACATGCACAATGAAGACATTACACAAAAACTCAATTTACATCAATAAGACCTAATATTCAACCACACAGACACCAACATAAATTCCCTGTCCCTGTGTTTGTCCCATGTTATCCACTCATTGATGAACTTCACTGAGAGAGGGAGGAATGAGTTCTTCTAATGATTGTGTTTACAWAAAGGAACCCTGGACCATGTTCCTGTGTTCATTAAAACATATTCTGAATGCAGAACATGAAAGGTGTCAGACAAAACACTGTCTGGTTCTCTGAAGGACCTCTGCTCAAATAGGTCTTGTAAAGTTAATGGTGCAACTATACCTATGATTTTACTTGTCTTCAGATTTAATACCTGAGCTTTTGATTTTATGGTCAGATTACAAAACCAGCAGACAGTACCCTATCTTAACACAGACTCCATAATGCTCTAAAAATAAATAAATAAATAAATAAATAAATAAATAAATAAATAAAAAAACAACAACAACAGCATATTTTTACAGACTTCAAACACTCTAAGAAACAGAGAAAATGCAGACACTCATGGATTTGGACACACACACACTTTCTTGTAACTCGAATGTGACAGGGCAAGTCACTGTCGATAACCACTCCCAGGTATTTGCAATGGTGAACCTGTTTGATGTTTTCTCCATGCATACCCACATGGCTGTGATCTCCAGCTGACCTGAGGTCCATCAGAATTTCTGTTGTTTTACCAGTATGAATTTGCAGTTTATGGACATCTCACCTTTTCACCACGTAAGGCAAATATCTAAACTTCTGTCTTAGGTGAATGGTAGATTATTTTTTCTTTGCTGAGTGTTCAAGTGCTACTTGTTTACAAAAATGCAGCTAACCTGAAAATATGTGGCTTTTGTCCTTGCCAATTTTTGTTCAGTTTGCAGTGTCACAGCTTTAAACAGGGTTTACTTTATCATGATGATGTTTGTCTCTTTCATTTATTGCTACTTTCAGTAGCTTCACTTCTTCAACCAGTCCAATCAAAAGTTCTTGCTGTGATGCTAACTTTGAAAGTTCAGCACTCATGAAGCTCAGTGATTTTTTTATGTCCTCCATATCGTCCGAGTTATCCTCCACCAAGTTTGTCCCTCTTCCTTGCCCACGTCTATTTGGCATGACTCACCCAACAAGGCTCAACAACAACCAGGTCCAGCAACAGATCCCCACCTAGACTTCTCTCCACCGCAGACTCCACGCTCCAATGCAAAATTCTTCGCCCCACCATGGGCCTGCTCATCAAGGTTCCTGGATGGGCCTGGTGGTGGTTGCCTCGGCTGGCCAGATGCTTTAGTTAGCAAACCGGCCAGCTGCTCTCTTCCACTGTCAGCTGCCTCCCTCCTCCGCCTCAGGCCTTTCTCCACTCCACCACCATGTCGTGGGGGCTCTTCTCTCACTGATGTCGGCTCTAATTCTCTCCACCACGGGCTCTTTCCTGGCGCCTTTGGACTTGTGTTGAATTAGTTACCGCCAGCCAGAATGTCACGGCAAGATATCTTAGCTTGCCGCTCTCCTCCACTGTCAGCTCACMAAAACAGCTGCTGTCCGCCGATAGCTATCTGATTAGCACACTTGTTAGCTGCTCCTTTCCAGGCCTCTCCTCTCCACTGCGAGCTCCACCGCCACGCCACGGGCCAATCCTCACACCGACGTCGGCCTCTCCTCACCGCAGAAATTCAATTTTTATTCCTCCTGTAGCAAGTGGGAGAGGTGAAAGYGGTCGGGACAATGTGGGCGATGTGGTTCCAACTACCAAACAAGATTGGTTTTGTAGCTCGGCAAAACAGTCCAGTTGTAGCTTTGATCAGACATATTGGCTGTGACCAACAATATCAATTCAGACAATCAGTGTCCTCTTAAACTGGAGGCATTGGGACTACACCTAGCCCAACACACCAGAAACTCCATTCAGCTTTGGGACAAACTGAGCCCACAAACCCGCGTCAGGGCAGCCCGGTGGTACAAAGGCTGTAGTCAGGTCCTTTTCTATTGTTTTCTTCTTGTCAGATACAAATCCACAACACTCCGTCCTCTGAGAAATTAACCATCCTCGACCAGTACCTTTGTTCAATCATAAAGAGAGACAAACTTTCCAYGACATGCTGGGGCTGTAAGTTAGCCCTAGTTAATAAGGGAATGAGACTAAAAGTTCATGTAAAATACCACTGTGTAGTTTTTATAAAACAGGTAATTTTTTTACCAAGTCACAGCACGTTTCCAGTCAATGGTAGCTCATCAACCTTTCTGTCAGCTTAGGATTGCACAACAATAGTTTGAAAAACACACCGATAAATAAAGATAGTAAGAAATTATTGAGCTCTGCACTCTCATCCACTCAGAATGAGACTCAGGAGAAGAATATTTTTACAAATTCATGCCATTGCTATCAACTCAGATAGGTCACAGGGAAAAAAAATACAGTATACAGTATATAAACAGATAATATCTAGTGTCAAGGAAACATACTGCTAGAACTGGTTCTGACACTTACCAAAACTGGAGTCTTTCTACTTTAAGATAAGCCAGCCTACAACATCCTTATTTACTGTATTCCCATCTTAAAATTTAAACATTTCTAAGCAAGTATTTTGGGGAAAAAATTAGGGTTGTGATATGAAGTGCATAAATCATGGCAGATGTTAGAATTGGGCAATTTAGATAATTTATTTTATTATTTTTCAATAAACCAACATGGACATGTTTCAGGAAGAGAAGAGAAGAGAAGAGAAGAGAAGAGAAGAGAAGAGAAGAGAAGAGAAGAGAAGAGAAGAGAAGAGAAGAGAAGAAGAGAATCACTAAATGATGGGGCTAAGGACATATTGCTGAAAAGTCAATTCTTGACACCAACAACAGTTTATTAGTCTGTTTTTTTTTTCTGTTGGTTTATGTTCATGTGTGCTAATAAGGAAAAGTTAACAAATTCCAAAACTTCGGGAAATCAATTCAGTAGTAAAAAAATCAATTATTTTGCATAATAGAAAAATGGAGCTTCACAGCGGAAAACTGCAAGGAAATAATGGCACTGCAGCTTCTTAGCTTTCAAAATGCAAAGACTGAATGATACAAAACATTGAAAATGGCTGACTCTAATTTTGTTTTTATGAACTCTGAAACACAGATCTTTAATCAACCAAGTTACTCCTTCCCAGTTATTCGTTTGTGTTTTATGTCCATAGGTACAAATACTGCCACAGACCATACACTCAAAGCAGGTGAAGTTTGAGACATGTTGGTAAAAGCAACTTACCATCAGACAGAAAGTATTCCACTTCACCATTGATACCTTCATCCCCATCCTGAGCACTGAGTTTGTACACCACTGATCCTGCAGAAGCATCAGGGGGGACCACTGCAAGGTAGGGAGAAGGAACCATGCTCCATTCTGGGACGTTATCATTTACATCAGTCACAGTCAACTCCACTCTGATCAAGTACCACTCAGGACCTAAAGAGCAAAGAAAAAAAGAAGAAAAAGATTTATTATGACAAATGAAAAAAGGAACAAGAAAGCTGAGAATGCTCTTTATATACACACACATACACACACTCACACACATATACACACACACTTTGTACACCTGTCCAATTGCTCATTAACGCATATGTTGAATCAGCCAATCACATGGCAGCATCTCAATGATTTTAGGCAAGTAGACATGGCCAAGATAATCTGCTGCAGTTCAAACCGAGAATGGGGAAGAAAGGTGATTAAATGACTTTGAAAGTAGCATGGTTGTTGGTGCCAGAAGGGCTGGTCTGAGTATTTCAGAAACTGCTGATCTACTGGGATTTTCACACACAATCATCTCTAGGGTTTACAGAGAATTGTCCGAAAAAGAGAAAATATCCAGTGAGCAGCAGTTCTGTGGGCGCAAACAGCTTCTTGATGCCAGAGGTCAGAGAATGGCCAGACTGTTTCAAGGTGCTAGAATGGCAACAGTAACTTAAATAACCACGTGTCACAACTGAGGTATTCAGGATAGCATCTCTGAACTCACAACACGTCAAACCTTGAGTCGGATGGGCTACAGCAGCAGAAGACCACATCGGGGTTGCTGCAGTTGGTCATGTCTAGGTTCAGAAACAGTATGTGCTTGAAGAAGGAGTTCAGCTGACTACCTGAATAAAMTGAATGACCAGGWTATTCCATCATTGATTTTTTTCTTCCCTGATGGCACATGCCAGGATTCATCGGGCTTGRATTGTGAAAGAGTGGTTCAGGGAACATGAGACATAATTTTCACAAATGGATTGGCCACCACAGAGTCCAGACCTAAACCCCATTGATAATMTCTGGGATGTGCTGGAGAAGGTTTTGTGCAGCGGTCAGATTCTACCATCATCAATGCAAGATGWTGGTRRAAAATTAATGCAACACTGGACGGAAATAAATCTTGCATTGCAGAAGCTTATCGAAACAATGCCACAGCAAATGCATGCCATAATCAAAGCTAAAGGCGGTCCAACAAAACATTACTGTGTGCATGTACACATTCACACAATGCTGAAGTGATTTTTGGTGATTTTATGTGACTGCATTTTTTTGAAAATATGCCATGTGAACAACAGATATGTTCTTTTTTTTTTTTTTTTTTTTTTTTTTTTACCAAAAGACCCTCATGAGGCCATCTCAGCATCTCAACCAGTAATTACAATCAGTACACTGAAATATGTTGTAAACAACAATCACAGTGACACTAGTAACCGAGTCAAGTCCAGCACAGGTCCTCATGAATGCACTCATCTTCTACAGAAACGCAAATAGCACAACTGCATTTACAGCTCACAATAGGAAGAATGCAACTATTAACAACTATTAGAGATAAAATTCCAAGACAAATTAAAAATGCATACTTTCATTGCCTAGTAACATTGTAGCAGGGAGGGAAAGTGTCTTGATTGTGTGACTACACTAATGACAGTGCAACCTTGGAAAAATGTGAGAGAAATATTGTCAGAGTGATAAGCTGCCATCAACTAAAACTGAGCACAGCAGGATTAAATTGAAAAAAAGAAACTAAAGAGCCTAGTGTCACGTGCAGTAGATGAAAAGGGAAGAACAGAGGCTGGTGACCCTGCGGTTATTTTAAAAACAATAGAACAACAAAAAGATGAAAGAATTAGGAAGAGGAAGAAAGAAAGCCATGAGCAAGCAGTTGCATAAATCAATGGCATTAGAAAAAGGAAGGGAAGGGAACAAGACTAAGCAGATGTCTAAAGATGGAGAAGCAGAGACAACCAACGACAGCTTGCAGACAAAAAAAAAAAAAGAAAAAGAAAAAAAACTGCACTTCATTCTGGGATTCAACCCAACACATCCCCTCATATTATTCAAAGGGAGTGCCCAGCCCACACAAACAACCCCACCCAAACACACAGAAAGGTTGTGACATAATAAATGAATAAACATTTATATGTGTTCACCAGTGACCCATTCACTGCAGCTAGAGGAAACACCAAAGCCAATACATCATCACACATTTATTGAATTGCATTTATTCAAACATGTCACAGACCACTCAAATAATATGAGAAAAGCAGCACACTTTAAATCAACCACGTTTTATATGTTTTTGTTTCATTTTTGTATGTAAATGTACAATTACATTTTTTATTGCTGTATTTAAACCGAAACATAAGCTTAAATTCTTTGTATTGATTATTAGCCACCAATCCCCTCGCTCTTGAGGCCAAAAAACTTAAGCGGGAAACGCTGCAACCAAAGTGCTTGTTGAACTCTCTCTAACTCTAACTCCTCCTTTCTCTTTCTTTGTTATTGTAACAGATTCAAAATTAATTGGCAAAAGGACAATGCAGCTTTGGGGAAGAAGGGACATCATTACTCAGGTAATAAATCACCAGGCTAATATTCAGTGTGCTATGCCAAAATGCATCTCTCTCATCCCCTCATCCTCTAGTTTTGCTGCTCTTGCAAATGCACACACACGCACACGTGCATGCCTTCTCAGTAACAATCATCACTGGATTAGTGTCTAATGAAGGACCACAGGGAGATACAGATTGGTGCCATTGTCATCCCTCACACTACTGCATCTTCCTGGGTCTAATGGCATGTTGCAATCAGTAAAAACAGTAGGAACTGGCATTAGCACCAGTGCCACAACATCATGTGTGCAGTGTTTCAAACACACTGCTCTCTCACTTTCTCTCTGATCTCGTTTTCAGACTGGTGAAAGTCTGAGGTTGAAATAATTTTTACAAAAGGTTATCAACTCAAAATATTTGAAGGCCTTGTGTACTCATCACGACCCTGAGACAATTCTATTTGGAGTCTGTCATCATTTGAAAGCTAAAAGTATATATGAGTTTTTTTTCATCAGAACAACGTACACATGCAGATGGTATTTGAAAATAATAAGGAAAACTTGTCTCATGTAATGGGGAGATGTCCACATTAATTTGCATTGYTTGTTGCTGATGACCCACTGATAAAAGCTGAGGCAAATTTTAGTGACCTACTGATCTGAATGATGATTTTCCGTTGCTTTCTGCAGAAACTTTGCATCTGCAAACCAACCACAACAAGCCATTTTTTCAAACCCTTTTAATCAAAACAATGCAGTGGTATTTTTTTCTATCTAACCAAAAAAACAAACAAACAAAAAAACAAAACAAAACAAAAAAAAATATCATTTTCAAACGTATTTATTATCACTCATTGAGAGGCAGTGTGAACTATCAGATACCTTTTGCATTAGCTTTTCATAATATCACAGCATTAAAAACTTTGAACAAACAGTGGCTGGGTGAATTGCAGATAGAGATATCATTCATTGCAATTACTCTCTACTAAGATCAACAAGCAGATGAGGACCTTGAATCAAACGTTATGCACAAATTGGAGTAAAGGATTGTAAAAATGTCAAAAGGGGAGCTGTAACAAACCATATGGCAGAAAGAGTCTGCTAGCTCTGTGTGTGTGTCTTTATGCACCAATTTGCAGCAAATATTGCAAAGAACAAAAAGTCTTGTTTTACTGGTGTTGACAGGCACTCATAAAAGCAAAMACAGGTTGTTGAGTCTTTTATATTTTCAAGCGTAAGGCCAGACAATACCATCTATTATGAGGAGCTCAACCACCTATAAACTGATTCAGAGCCAAAATAAGTATTCCTAGAACAAACAAAAAAAGTTAAGAACTGTTGAACAATGTGTTGCCCCCTAGGTCAAACATGCATTTTCAGATTATCTTCCTATTAAGGTCTATTAATATACCACTTGATACCAATAAAAGCAACTGATGGTTGAAAACAACCTTACATCCCTTCCCTTGCTAAGATTGCAAAATCAAGGTGCGTGTTACCTTTTTTATGRAAAAAAAAGAACATTTTCAAAAAGAAAATATTATTACCAATAACAATAAAATGAATTGTGCACACAATTCTGATAGCAAAGGACTGTGTGCAGCTTCTATAGGACATAATAAAAAATGGTTTGAACTACTAACGTGTATTTTATTACTCAAAGGATTAATGTGATGATTGTTTACTATACACTATATATANATATATATATATATATATATATATAGTCCCTTTTGTTAGCTTTTAGGTTTTTCCCATGGGCAGACAAATTAAATTTAAATTTAAATTTTGCTCCATTGTTTGAACCTCTGCTCACTGGAATTTCCTGCTCTACTCAGCACTTTCTGCCCATTCCTGATCTTACAAACAGTGCCTCACCAGGAGAAAATCCCACAGCACCCAGGAAATCCTGCAGCATGTGTTTTTTTTTCTGCACTTCAAAGCCTGTAGTCTGCGACTCTCTAACATGCTGTCTGGAACCTGAAAACAGAGTGCAATCATGTTGAAGCAAGCAAGGATGTGCATAAATATTTACTAATTATCAATGCACAGACATATTTCACAGCAGGGGTCGATCACAGGTGTTCTATTTGTGCCTAATGATACTGCTTTAAATACTATACTGTTTTTAATTTACCCCCTCTTGCTAATCACATATTGCACTAATTTTAGCCAAATATGAGTTGATATTTTGAATACAAAAATGTGCAACAAGGATGTGAAAGCAATGTTTACTTTGTGTTACAATTAAAATAAATACAATAAGTTTTTAATCACCAAAAATTATTGAATGATTTTCATAAACACTTACGCAGCTAGTAATTGTCTAATATACAGTAGTTGTGACAATCATTTTGACCAAACTGTGCAGACCTTCAGGAAACCACAACTGATTTATCGGTTTGTCAGTGCAGTCGAAGTTTTATGCCACATTACTGCATAATGGATGCAGCATAAATATGTCAGAGTTGAGAGCACTCGATTATTAGGTCATGATTCAAGCAAAGACCCCCTCGCTCCCTCATTCCCTCTGCTCTGTGCTCCCTCGATAACCCTGATCAGCACCTTTCTTACTCTCTGCTAACTAATTTTCGCACCATCTCCTTCCCAACTATCTGTT